TTATCCGTTTTTCGGGTAAACAGTATAGATACTGGAGCGGCTAAAGAAACACGTTTGGCACGATGTGGGATTGCTATTGCCGCCTTTTGATTGTAATAACGTGATTCCAATTAGAATTTGACGGGGATGGAGTTCCTTTCTAAAGCAAAGACTTTGCCTAAAGTTAAGGCAAATATCAAATAAAGAAAGCAAATATCATACGTGGCTGTTGTATTTGAGCTTCTTTATCAATTAAATGTAGTAAGGTTGGAAAGAATTATTTTTTTAATCATGCAAAAGTGAGAGTTTGTGGCAATATTAAAGTTTAAATACCAACTATGTGGTCAGTTATCCATATTTGTAATTAAATGTGATCGACACAGTGGTCTCAAGCTACGTTTTGGAGTTCAAAGTTGACGTGATATTCGAAGTTGATGTTGCATGATACTTCAAACCTAGTAACGGAGATTGCCTACTCACAAGTTTTGAAATAGGGCATTTGTAAGCATGCAAAATTTATTGAATTTTAATTCAATAAAATAATTTGGACTATATATTAAATATGCTAGTCCAACTAAGTATTATGGACTAATATAATTAGTTTAATTATATAAGTCCAAATATATATGGATTAAATAAATAAGTCTTAATCCATTGGGCTAGCCCATTTAGTTGGGCTACAAATGATAAGCCCACTTTGTTAAGCCCAAGATTACATCTTCCTAGAGGCCCAGTTTGGTGCCACGTGTCAAATGACATGGCACGCCAAGTCAAGCGGAAGAACCAATAGGATCGTGCCACATGTCAAAATGACAAGGCACGCCAAGTCACATTTAAAGATTAATGAAATCGCACCACGTGTGCAAGTGACATGTTCTGGCCAATCAAATACAGCCTTGTCACACTTCGATTTGATTGGTCGGAAAGAGTTTGTTCTTATCATAACTCTTCCATCCCACAATTATAAATAGGGGTATTCATAACGCAGAAAAGGTACCAGAAGTTATAACAAGAAGCAAGAAAGAGCTTGTGGATCAAACTCTGCAAATTCCTCCACAAGTTCAAGTTCAAGCAATCAAGGTCAAGCTCAAGAACGAAGAACAAATCAAGTTCAAGCTCAAGAACGAAGAACAAATCAAGATTCAAGGAGTACGGGTTCAAATCAAAGTTCGTGCTAGTTGAATTCAAGATCATCGTTCGTGGCAACAACTACATATTCAAGATCAAGTTCAAAGTCCCTTGGATTTATTTACTATTGGAAAGAAGAATCAGATGATTCATAGAGATTGTACACTCATATTATTTGAAATCAAATACTACGATTGTTGCAATATTTTTCGATCTCGATTATTTTCTTGATGCAATTTATTGTCTACCGTAACCATTATAGTTTTCTTCTCTATGATATTTTTACCTTTGATGGAAGATATTGGGTGCAAGTAAGTGTTTTTCTATGGATTAAACAATGGTGTTTATTTTCTCCATTGCATAATTGATAGTAGGCTATATTTATGCAATTTAGACATTATTTACACTCTAATTTAGTCGTACTTTATTGATATTTGGATGCTAAAAGATAACAAAATGCTCTAATTAAGAATTTGATGCTTTGCAGGAGCTACTCCGAGCTAAGAGGGAGCTAACGAGTGTTTTGGAGTCAACGTAGAGTGTGAAAGGCCAATCGAAGGTTAGCCCGGTCGAAAAGGAGCGAAAAAAAGCAAGTGAGACGACCCCTCAAGGTGCGCGGCCGCGAAGTGGGCCGCGAATTAGCCCGCGAACTCAAAGCAGTGAGGCAATGGAAATCCGCAGCCGCGGACGGGCGGACGAAAGTCAAACATGCAGGGTTAATTATATAATTTCTTAGGCGGCTAACCTAAACCTATATGAAGCCTAAACTCGCCTAGAAGTCAGATATAGCTGGTTTTAGAAGATTTTAGAGGCAAGAACAAGGGAGAGAAGACGGATAATTTTCTAAGAGTTTTCATCTTCTTCTTCATACTTCTATTAGTTGATTATGAATTATTTTAGTGATTTATTTTCCATTAGTATGAGTAGCTAAATCTATTATCTAGGGTTGATGGAATCAATTATTGGATGAAGTCTGACTCTATTTTGTTATAATTGAGTCGTGTTTGTTCTATGATTGTTCAATTACGTATTGTATTGTGGTTAATTGAAAGGGCCCTTGATTAATCGTATCTAGTTACCTTGTGTTGCTTGAGAAAGAATACTTGGTTAGATTGTTATTGAACAATACCACTTTTGGGTAAGTTAAGAGATTAACTACTTGAATTTAAAAGTGGGGTTAGAAATAACGAAACTTTGGTGGGATAATTCTGAGTTGCATAAATTGTTAACTAGAGTAGTTCGAGAGAATGCTTCTAGTAAATTATCGTAATTGATCGAAAGATAATTACGGTAGCCCAGAACTCATAATCCTCATAGAATACTATGGCGAGATTATAGTTAAAGAGTTAAGAATTAATCTGGCAATTGGGAAAATCAATAGCCCTAGATCCTTTTACCCTTGAAATCCATTTTAGTCTTGATTATTGCTAATTTTATTGTCATTTTTCCTTAGCTAAATAAATTTCACTGATTATTCATAAAACTCTTGCATCCGGAAGTTGTCTGAACTTATCATTAGCAATATTTAAAGTTGTAGTAAATAGGTTAGTTCCCTGTGGGATTCAATTCCGGACTTGAACCGGGTTATATTTACACCGACCGCTTAGTTCTTTTTACAAGGCTTAGTTGGGCGTGATCAAATTTTGGCATCGTTGCCGGAAAACTATTGGTGTTATTTATTACAACTTAGAAGAATTGCTAGGATTCTTAGTTTAGATCAATTTCTTACGGTGTTTAAATATTTCCATTGAAATTCTCATGTTTGAATTCTCCTGTGACTCAGGTGTATGCCTAGAAGCTCTTCGAGGACTGGTGAACTTTTTGAAGGACTCTCAGACCCCGAGAAAGCATTCAGGGTATTAAATCGAGCCAACAAGAAGAACAAACAGTTACAACAAAAACACACACTCGAAATTGAAATGGACAACGTGGACGATGTCAACGAAAACAATCGAAATAATCGGGTTGACCCAAACAATGGAGTGGTGGCACCTCTTGTGCCTGAAGCTGCTTTTTATGATTGGGCATAACCAACTGCTGATAACCTAGCCACTGCCATTGTTGTACCTCAGATACAAGCGGAGACATTCTAGATCACCAACAACATACTGCATCTATTGCAAAATAAGGGACTGTTCTCCGGGTCATACATTGAAGACCCACAACAACATCTGAAGAATTTCCTATCAATATGTGTGACCCAAAGACAGCCGAATGTGACTCCTAAAGCCATCAAGCTATTACTGTTTCCATTCTCTGTGACTGGAGAGGCTCAAACTTGGCTGAATTTGCTCCCAATAAACTCCATTGCCACTTGGGAAGAATTAGTCAAATAGTTCTTAAACAAGTTTTATCCTCCCAACAAGACTGCAAGGCAGATTGATGAGATATTGCAGTTCAGGTAGAAACCAACTGAGACCTTGCAAGAAACTTGGGAGAGGTTCAAGGGTATGCTAGTGAAGTGTCCACACCATGGCATTCCAGATCAGATGCTGGGACAGAGATTCTATATGGGTTTAACAGACAGTTTGAAGGCCAATGTAGATGCTTCAGCTGGGGGTGCATATTTTAGCAAGACATTCACAGAGTGCAAGATTCTTCTTGACAAGATGGCTCAAAATTCAGGCTGGATGGCTAGAGGTATGACACTTACACCAATAGTACATTCTATTGCTCTTGACCCAAATAATTCCCATGCAGAGAACATAGCCACTCTCATGACTCAGATGAGCATACTGACAAAGAAAATTAATGAGATGGGTACAAAGCAAGTGCACATTGTTGATACAACAAATGGAGGATTGTGCACTCCTTGCATAAACCAGTCATATGTGTGCTAGTAGAGTGGAGAGAATGACAACCAAGGTTTCAGAGAAGACATGAATTATGTCAATAATTATGGAGGTCAGAGGCAAGATAGGAAACAATGGGGACCAGCACCAAACCAACAGTACAGACCCAACCTGCCATAACACAACCCCAATTCTGGAGGCGCACGACCACAAGGTCAAGTTGTGCCTTATCAAAGGCAGCAGGGCTATAATCAGCAGCACCAGCAACAGTTAGCCTACCAACCACCTCATCAACAACAAGACAACAACGTGGTAGAAATCAGAGGTATGCTGCAATAACTCATTGGAACAAATGATAAGATGCAAGAAAAGTTAGCAGCACATAATTCAGCAATCAAAGGCATTAAAACTCAGCTGGGACAGTTGTCTATGGCCTTGAACAATCGCCCACAAGGAACATTGCCTGCAGATACAAATATTAACCCAAAGGAGCAAAACCCAAATCAGCTAATGGCAGTGAGTCACAAGAATGGAAGAGATTTAGACAGAGAGCAAGCAGTTGTTCAATCTAGGAGAGAGACTACGCCAACTACTTCAGTTACATTAGAGGCAGATGGGTCAACAGAGCTCACCAAAGTGGTAGTTGAACAGGCACAGGTTGACAAGGGTAAAGCGAAGGAAGGTGAACAAGTCTCAGAACAGGTGGCACCTCTTTTGCCAGAAGATTCCAACAAAGAAAAGACATTAAGTAGTGGACAGAGGTTGACTCCTGCACCATTCCCTCAAAGATTGGCAAAACAAAAGAAAGATGATTAATACAGGAAATTCATGGAAATGCTTCGACAGATTCAATTGAATATTCCGCTGATGGATTCTTTGAGGGAAATGCCAGGGTATGAAAAAATGATAAAGGACCTGATGTCGCAGAAATTTAACTTCCAGGACCTGTCCACTGTAACTCTGACATAGACCTGCAGCGCGGTAGTGACAAGACTTATGGCCCAAAAGGTGTCTGATCCAGGTAGCTTCACTATCTCATGCACTATTGGGAGTTATGCTTTTGCTAAAGCATTGTGTGACTTGGGAGCCAGCATAAACTTGATGCCCTTGGCAATCTATACAAAACTGGGCATTGGCAGGACTAGACCGACCTTAATGTTGCTGCAACTGGCTGATCGCACAGTCAAAAGACTGACAGGAATTCTTGATGATGTGCTTGTGCAAGTGGGAAAATTTGTATTTCCTGCAAACTTTGTTATTCTTGACTGTCAGGTGGATGAAGAGATACCCATCATTCTTGGAAGGCCATTCTTAGCCACTGGGAGAGCATTAATTGATTGTGAGATTGGAGAGTTGAAAATGAGGTTGAACAATGAAGAAATAATATTCAACGTTCAACAATCCATGAGAAGATCCAGTGAATTTGCAAACTGCTCACTAATGGAGGTCGTGGATATGATACTGCAAGAAGAGGATGAGACCCTTAATGTCAAGGATCCACTAGAAGCCTGCTTAATGAATTTGGAAGAGATGGATGGTGAAGGGTTGGCAGAGTGGGTCATGGCTCTCGAAGGTCAAGGATTCTGGAAAAGGGAACCTTAGTTCGAGCCCCTACGCTTAGAAGAGAGAGCAACACCACCTGCAAAATCATCAATAGATGAGCCACCACAGCTGGACTTAAAACCGCTTCCAACCCACCTTAGGTACGCTTTCTTGGGGCCTAATTCTACTTTACATATTATTATATCATCTGGTTTGCTAGATGTGCAGGTAGAGCAACTATTGTAGGTATTGCAAGAATGTAAGACTGCCATTGGTTGGACCATGGCAGACATAAAAAGTATCAGCCCAGCCTTTTGCATGCACAAGATTTTTCTGGAAGAGGGGCACAAACCTTCCAGGGAGCATCAACGACGGCTGAACCCGAATATGAAGGAAGTAGTAAAGAAGGAAGTGATCAAGTGGTTGGATACAAGTATCATCTTCCCCATCTCTAACAGCAACTAGGTCAGTCATGTCTAATGTGTGCCAAAAAAGGGAGGAATTACGGTCGTACAAAATGAGAATAACGAGTTGATCTCGACTCGTACAGTCACGGGGTGGTGGATTTGCATGGACTATCGAAAATTGAACACACCCACTTGAAAGGACCATTTCCTATTGCCTTTCGTTGACCAAATATTGGATAGGTTAGCTGGGCGGTCCTACTTCTGTTTCTTGGATGGATACTAGGGGTATAACCAGATCTCAATAGCCCCAGAAGACAGAGAGAAAACATCATTCACTTGTCCATATTCGGAGAATGCCCTTTGGACTTTGCAATGCACCGGCTACATTCCAGCGGTGCATGTTAGCCATTTTCACTGACATGGTAGAGGATATTATGGAGGTATTTATGAATGTTTTCTCCGTGGTGGAGGATTCATTTGAAGATTGTCTTCACAACTTAAGAAGAGTGCTCAAAAGATATGTGGAGACAAATCTGGTGCTGAATAGGGAAAAGTGCCATTTTATGATACAAGAAGGAATAGTGTTGGGGAATCGAGTGTCCAGCAAGGGCATTAAAGTCGACCATGCCAAGGTTGATATGATTGAGAAGCTGCCACCACCCACTTCGGTAAAGGCAGTGAGAAGTTTCCTTGGGCACGTCGGGTTCTATAGGCGATTCATTAAAGATTTTTCCAAAATTGCTAACCCCTTATGTAAGCTACTTGAAAAGGATCAGCCCCTTGTGTTTTCTAATGATTGCAGGTTGGTTTTTAAGGAGCCGAAGAAGAGATTGGTGACTGCACCCATCATAGTTGCACCGAACTGGGAGCAATCGTTCGAGCTCATGTGCGACGCCAGTGATTATGCTATAGGAGTAGTATTGGGGCAACGCAAAGATAAGATGATGCACCTGATTTACTATGCAAGCAGGATGATCAGCGGTGCACAGCTCAATTACACTGTAACAAAAAAGGAAACGCTGGCTGTAGTGTTTGCCTTCGACAAATTTAGGTCGTACTTAATTGGTTCAAAAGTTATTGTTTATACTAACCATGCAGCAATTAGGTACTTGATAGCAAAGAATGAGTCAAAGCCATGCTTGATTTGTTGGGTTCTTTTGCTACAAGAATTTGATGTGGAAATCCGTGACAGAAAGAGGACGGACAATCAAGTGGCAGACTACCTCTCAAGATTGGAAGGAGCTAAAAAATGAATGGAGGTTGAAGACATAACAGAGACATTCCGGGATGAACAGTTACTTGATGTGATAATGGAGGAGACGCCATGGTATGCTGATATTGCTAACTATTTGGCTAGCGGTATTGTACCTTATGAATTCTCCTCAATTCAAAAGAAAAAGTTCTTTCGCGATTGTCGATCCTATTATTGGGACGAACCTCTATTGTTTAAAATATGTGTAGATAACATGATCCGGAGGTGTATCCCCAAGAAAGATCAACCTTCTGTTTTGCAGGCTTGCCATACTTCACCATATGGTGGACACTTTGGAGGAATCCGGACAGCAGCAAAAGTGTTGGAATCGAGATTGTATTGGCTACCCTGTTCAAGGATGCCCATGCTTGGGTCAAAAGTTGCGATGAATGCCAAAGGAGAGGCAACATATCTCGCCGTCATGAGATATCGATATATATTAGGCCGTTCGTCAGCTCGTATGGTAACAAATATATATTGGTAGCAATTGACTATGTCTCCAAGTGGGTCGAAGAGGTGGCTCTCCCAACCAATGATGCAAAAGGGGTAACAAGTTTCCTAAAGAAAAACATCTTCACACTTTTTGGCACCCCAAGAGCTATAATCAGTGATGGTGGAACCCATTTTTGCAATAGAGCGTTTGCACGTCTGTTGGAAAAGTATGGAGTTCGCCACAAAGTAGCCACACCGTACCACCCACAGACGAGCGGGCAAGTTGAAGTGTCCAATAGAGAAATTAAAAGTGTCCTGACAAAGACAGTGAATGCAACAAGGATTGATTGGGCGAAAAAGCTGGATGATGTATTATGGGCATACCGCACAGCATTCAAAACTCCAATTGGTATGTCACCGTATAAGTTGGTATTTGAAAAGGCATGCCACCTTACGGTAGAGCTCGAACATAAAGCACTTTGGGTACTGCGAAAGTTGAATCTGGATATAGAGACTGCAGGCACTAGCAGAGTCACTGAGTTACATGAGCTCGAGAAATTCAGGTTCCATGCATTTGAGAATGCTAGATTATACAAAGAAAAGATGAAAATGATCTATGATAAGCACATCTTAGATCGGAACTTCAAACCCGGAGATCTAGTGTTTTTATACAACTCGAGATTGAGATTATTTTTGGGTAAGTTGAAGTCCCGAGGGTCAGGACCCTTCAGAGTGGTGCAAGTGTTCTCAAGTGGAGCTGTAGAGATTGAATCCGAAGATAGGACAAACAAGTTCACGGTAAATGGGCAAAGGTTGAAACATTACCTTGGAATGGTTGAAGAGAAAGGGGATAGAGTGGTGATAACTTTGGAAGAGCCCCAGTACGCTAACGAGGAGTGATAATGAAAGCCTGCGTCATGCCGCGACGTTAAATCAGGTGCTTCCTAGGAGGCAACCCATGGTTTGTTGTAAATCGCCGTGCCGCGACGTTAACTTAGGCGCTTTTTGGGAGGCAACCCATTATTTTCTTACTTTGGTTGTTGTAATTTATTTTGAACGAATTTGACCGATCTACTAGTGTGCAGGATAAAAATTATGTGCATCGGAAGGATTCGGGGGTCGAAATTAACCCGAGAATAGGTAAAAATACGGCAAAGACAAAAATTAGTTGGAGACAGAAATCTGCGGCCGCGAACTGGACCGCGGATATGGCCGCGGATTTTGGCCTGTGTCTGTCCCCCGTCCGCGGCTGCGGATTGGACCGCGAATTGGGGCACGAATTTTTGGTCCCCCTCTGCCCAGAATCCGCGACCGCGAATTGGACCGCGGATCTGGGCACGGATATGGGGCGTGTCTAGGTAAGTTTGTTTTTTAATTTTTAGTCAAAACTTTTTTTTATTTTCCCTAACTTAAACGCCCACCATCCCTACTTCCCTTCCCACTTCCCCCACTTCTCTTCTTTCCTTCCTAACTTCAAGTCCCCAAACCCTTCTCCTTCCCCCACAACTAAAATGCCCCCCC